TTAATAAAGTCGTAAAATTACGAGAATAAAGTCATAAAATGACAAGAATAAAGACGTAAAATTACGTGAATAAAGTCATAAAATTACGTGAATAAAGTCGTAAAATTACGAGAATAAAGTCGTTAAATTACAAGAATAAAGTCGTAATATTACGAGAATTAAGTTTTAATTTTACGAGAATAAAGTTTTAATATTACAAAAATGTCATCATACATCATACAGTTGTGAACTCAGACTGTTCGATAAAACCACCCGGTTTTGTAGTACATTGTGAGCTGTAGCTCCGTGCGACAATTGAAATAATCGCAATCTCCTGGGTTAATAATTGCAAACAACTGAAATAATAAATAATAATTAATACAAATTTATTATATTACTTAAAAAAAATCTCAATGAATACCAATATGAGACTAAAAAGCACTGCCCAAGCTGCAATGAGTTTATAATAGTTGAGTGAATGATCTGATTATCTGGACTGTTGATTGGAACAATATAGATAGAATTGACAGAAATAAAGGGCATAAAATTAAATTAAAATTTGGTTGAGCTGAGGAACATAGAAGCACCTATCCATAAGCTCTTCCTATGCTAGAAAAGCTAACAGCAATCTAGCTTCCTGGCTGCCTTTGTCTAGGATGAAAGAGATCACATATACTTTCTCACAGTAAAAGTTGAGCCCATAGCTATGTCTAGAAGAGAAAATAAGTCGTAATTTTACGAGAATAAAGTTGTAATTAGTGTTATACCGATACCAGTATCGGACGGGGCCCCGATACTGCCGTAAAATGGTGGTATCGGTATCGGCGAGTACCAACAAATAGGGCACCGATACCATTTTGAGAGCCATAAGTTTATTCAACTATTGTACCCCATTCCTGGTAGGCAATAAAAAGTTCTACTGGATTCACTTTGTATTAGATTTTTTCCTGCTTCACAAAGGTAGGCAGCAGCTTGACAAAGCCATGATGGCAATAATTTTACATTATTATGGTATCCGTATCACCAATACTGCACAGCCAGGTATCGGGTTTCGGTATCGGGGCCAAAAAATGGCATTGGCGCAACACTAGTTGTAATATTACGAGAATTTAGTTAATTTAATCATTGTACTCGGTAAAAGGTTTATTTTTAAAGCCAAAAGTAGATTGTCACTTGGTATTCATTTCTTCAAAACATTTATTCAGCATTTTTAACTTTAAAAAGTTAAATGAATGTTGAAACTGATAATAAAGCCAGAAAACATAAAACAGATAGGAAGTTGTCAAATGTTTACTCTGCAAAAGGTAATTTGTGGATGAACGAATTCATCCAATGTGGGTGAATGTGAATGAGTGTGAGGGGGTGAGAGGAGGATGGCTTTTAGGTCGGTAATTTAAAGGCCGGATTATACTTCTGCAACCGCACACATCAAATGTCGCTCGGGTCTGGTCGCGAACCAGTTTTGCTGGTATGCTTCTGCAACATCGGCATCATAAGAGTGGTTGTACTTCCGAACCTCCTTGATCAACCTTTCGTCGTAGTTTTCCATTGGTGTTATTACTCCTCGCTTTTTAAAAATGGCGCGCCCTGGCAGCGAATCGAGAAGGACGACCACACAGACAGCTGGAAAGGCACACCAAGGACCGATCACAGCTGCTTTTTGTCTGCGCACTTCCGCTTGAGGTCTGCACGGGTTTGCGACCATCGGATGTGTAGTCAGGATTTTTTTGAGGTACGCGATGATGGATGCAGAACCTCTGCGCTGGGGTCGTGGTCGTGCACAGAGACAGATTTGACGGTTGCAGAGGCTATGCGTTAGAAGTATAAATTAGCCATAACAGTGTAAATGTATCCTGTGCTGCGATTTATGTTGTTTTAATAAAAAAAAGTCTGTCTAGAAAAGTTCTGATTGTAATGAGATTACATTGATATACGACAGAATGAAGCAGGAATCAAACTAGGAACTTCTGAGTGTACGATGACTAATCTACTGAATAACATTCCCTGACAAGGTTTTTGGATAATGCTGTCACTAATAGGATCAGCTATAAATGCACACTGACAGGCAGAAATAATCTAGTTCTGCTGGGAGACGCCCAATCACTCAAACTGTGCTATACAGAAGTGTCCTGGTTTGAGTAATTTTACATTTAAACTCAACAAAGATGCATGAAGAACATCTTTAACGCTGCTGCTTTTATGACTTTTTCAATTTTCTTGACCAAAAAAGTCCTTTTTGTTTTGAGTTTACAAATAAAAATAAGGAACAAATGCCATGAATTGATAAACCCCAGAGATTATCAATCATGGTAAAAGTGATGTTCATCTTCTTTACCTTTTTAAGCTGAAAATAAAAGCAGTAAATGTGTTAGGGTGGTTAAGTTTCCCCAACTTTAACCTATAAAAAATGAAACAAAGACAGTTTAAGATTTTTCCTGAAATGCTTTGCAAAGGGGAGACAGAGTATCAATCTCTGCATCTCTGCTTGGCTCAACACTTGCCAGGCTTTTTATTGAGCAGTCAATACATTACAACAGCAGGCGTTAGTTTCGATCTCTTAGACATAGCATGAACTTTTAAGATAGGGAAATTGCCTGGTTGAAGTATACGCTTTACACAAGGTGTCGGGGTTATGAACTTTTCACTTATGTGCTTCTCAAATGAAAAACAGGAAAGCATTCTTGCAAAACATTTGACCGTCTTATGGCCTTCAAACACTATTTCCAATGATGAGAGTAACATTGATAAAAACAACATAAATCATAATAACTCCAACAAAATGGGAAAAAATCAGCTGATTAAATGAGCTCGGATATCCTGAGCTCCCTGCTCTCTCTAACTGTATAACTTTTCTTACCAACACAGCATTCTGTGGGTTTCATTTTATTTTTCTAAGCTTTTCCCAAGGGTTAGCAAAGCTTCCTGTTTTTTAGGATCCTTTTTGTCGTTCTCTCTCCAGGGAGCAGCCGATATTCAGCACTCGCGCCCATGTTTTCCAGATCGATCCCACCACCAAGAGGAACTGGATACCTGCGAGCAAGCACGCCGTCACTGTGTCCTTCTTCTATGATGCCAACCGCAATGTCTACCGTATCATTAGTGTGGGTGGAACCAAAGTGAGTACTAAAAAAACAACATTCCCATAATGAGGTGTAAACTGGATTTAAGAGGTTGGGTGGCTTCTCAGCAGATATGCTTCAACATTCCCTTTTCTTCAGGGATTTGGATTATGAGGAGGAGGCCACATCAAGGCCTGGGGGAAGGGGGCTTCTTAGCACCTACTATGACCCATATTTCTGCCTCACAGAGAGGGCAGCGTGGGATAATGATCAGCGGCCAACACTCATGTCGGTTTCCACAGTAATCTTCAGTGTTGCTCTGTCCAGCATGTTGTGCCAAACGTGTCACAGCTCAAACGCAGAGTTTAGATTTTACATAATAATTTCTTGGAGGGGTAAGAAAGGAAAGAAAAAAACAAAGGTCTTCCACTTTAAATTAGATTCAGGATTGGAAGGCATTGGTTTTACGTGCGCTCAATTAAGATTCAGAATGC